CGCATGCAGCATTAGACTTTGAACTACGCCCTTGGCTGGTCCTTCTATCGTAAATCCGAATAGCTTTGTCATCTTTTCATACTTGCGATGAAGAAGGGCCAGCGCTATGGCTCTCGCTGTCAATTGTTCTTGGGATAGTCTGTCCACGGGCTTAACCACCGTAGCTGCTGAATTGAACTCTCTACTGGTAGAAAAGATCCAGGGGCCAGCGTGGGCTCTCTGCGTAACATTGTTGCTTCCACACCGGAAACGTCGCCAATTGTGTGTCATAAGCACTTTTAATTCCTAGGAATTATAAATAATATAACAATTTATTCTTCGATTTTAGGATCATTTTACTTTACGTCCGACTAAAAAGATGGGCCCCTAAGTAATGTGTCACATAACTTGCATGCTAACTTTATTCGTGTTAACTTATTGGCTAGAATGCCCACTATTTACCGATTTTACACGAATGCAAAAAGTTGAAAGATGGGCCGAAATGATTCAGAAACACGCCACAGATTAACTTTTAACTTTGAACATTATATACCTCTATAGCCGATTCGGTTCGCTCAGCAACTTCCCTCTTTGGCGTCATGTATTTAGTTTTTACTGTTGGGCTTCTGGTAGCTTTTGGATACTGCGTAATTTTAACCGACGTGGATGTTTAATTGTGAACTTGAATTTTTTTTTTATATAGCTTTGCTTTTATTTATTGAATCTACTCTTATTTTTGAGACTAACAATAAGTTGAGGAATCTTAACATTAAAATTTAACTAACAGTATAGTAAGACTGCATTCTGGTTGCGTGTCCCTCAGGTCGGTCGCTGGGTGGGTAGGTTATTGCGACGAAGGCGTGATTCGTTGTTCAACCTTGTTAGACCTCCCGATAGGTGGTTAGGGGGCCTTTTCTTCTGCGATCACTTCTTTTACTGGTAGAATGTTTAAGTCGCGGTGTATGTTTTCGTTGCGAACGTATCACGGTGCCCCGGTGATTGTTCTCAGGATCTTCGACTGAACTCTCTGAACAATGTCAATGTTGCTATTGCTGGCGTTCCCCCATAACTGGGAGCCGTACATCCATATAGGTTTTAGTACCGAGTTGTACAACATGATTTTATATTCAAGGCTAAGAGGTGACCGGGCGTTCATAAGCGAATGAAGGCTGCTGGCTTTTAGCTTTAGGTGTGTTCTCTTGGCTTCAATGTGCCGGAGCCATGTGAGTCTTCTGTCGAGATGTACTCCTAGGTATGTTACTTCGTTTGCTTGTGGGAGTAAAGTGTTGTTTAACGTAATCGGCGGGCAGTTTTGCCTGTTCAGAGTGAACGTAACGTGTTTGCATTTTAGTTCGTTCACTTTAATTCACCAATCTGATAGCCATTTTACAACATCGACCATATGACGAGCTTGCTGCTCAGTTGCTTGAATCGGGCATTTAGAGCGGCTAAGAATATCTGTGTCATTGGCAAATATAAATGTTGTTAGACGTGTGCTTGTCGGGATGTCTACTGTGTAGAGGACATACAGTGTAATCATCAGATATAGCAGTGTTGCATCTTACAACAAATTTTCTGTCGTGATGGTAAGACTCTAAAATCTTGTGGGTGCTGAAGGGGAGCATTGTCTTGATCTTGTACATTAGACATTCTAGCCAGACTCTATCAAATGCTTGAGAGACATCATAAAATATGGCAGTACAGTACTCTCGTTTTTCGAAGGCGTTTCGAATTTCTCATGTTATCCGGTTGACCAGCTCAATTGTTCCATGCTTTTCAAGAAACTCAAATTGGTGTGACGGCATTCCTTCCTGGATTCTCAGGTATGTGTTTATCCGAGTAATTAGGCATTTTTCAAAGAGTTTAGATAGGCAAAAGAGTAGGCTTGTCGGTATATATGACGTGGGGATAGTGTGCTCTTTCCCCGGCTTTGCTATCATTATTATAATTGACTTTTTCCATCTCACTGGAAAGTGGCCAAGTTTTGCGGTGGCATTAAAGAGCTGGGTGAGAGTGCAAACGGCGCAGTATCAATGATCATTTTTTGACTTATGAGGTCGCAGCCCGGGGATTTTTTCGGATTCAGTTGTCTTTTGATGATGCTTACGATTTCGTTTGGGTGAAACTCAATTGGCTCATGTTGAGGCTGGGGCTCATATGATAGAGTCGGCAAAGTAAACGCATTAGTGGCAGGATTTGGTTGGAAGACATTTTTAAGGTGGTTGCCAAACGTGCTGGCTCTGTCTCGTCACTGCGCGCCCAGCCGCCTGTGGAATTTCTAATAGGCATCACGGTTTCTTTCGGTAAGCTCAGAGTTGGGTGAGCTCTACATAGTGAGTGTTTTGCACTATTAGTTGACAATTGCTCAATGTAGCGGCGGTGGACATAAGTTTCTTCTTGCTGTAGAGCTTGAGCAAGTTGACGTGAGGCATGATTTAAGCTTTGCTTAGCAGATGGCGATCTGTGAAATTGCCATGCTCGACGTAAGCGTCGCTTTTTGAGGACGAGCTGTTCGATTTGTAGATTTGACTTCTTTTGATTGCATTGTGTGTTTATAGTATGAGGTGTTGAAACTCGAGTTGCAGAGACGAGTACAGATTCCAGTGAATTAACAAAACTTTCTACGTTGGCTTCATCGCTGAGGTGAGGACTTAGCTCAATGTGTGAGCTAATATACTTCCTGTACTTAACCCAATTGGTTTTATGTGAGGTCAGTTTTAATGGATGATCTCATGTTCCTGGATGTCGGAGTAGAATAAAAAGGACAGGCGAGTGATCAGATGAAAGATCCGAAAGGCATTCGGCGCTTATCATATTTTTAGGAATGTTTTTGGTAATCGCCAGGTCTATTAAATGTGGAAGTTTCTTTGGGTCTGCCGGCCAGTATGTTGGTGTGCCAGAAGAAACATAGTCGAGCTTGTTCTTGGCTTTGATAATTGCATTATAGAGCTGCTTTCCTTTTGGAGTCACGAGACGAGATCCCCAATGTGTGTGCTTGGCATTGTAGTCTCCTGCTGCTATGAAGTGGTCTCCGAGTGAGTTGAAAAACTGCATAAACTCATCTTCGGCTATGGTGAAGCGTGAGGGGCAGCATACGGCGGCTAGCGTTAATTTCTTGCCAGTATTTAGGTGTATATTTATGGATGTGGCCTGTAGGTAGTTTTTAGCAAATTTCGTTTGATAATGGTGCTTAATACGGCTCCTGATTAAAATTCCAGTCCCGCCTTACCATCTGGATGGTTTGTTCCATAGAATGAATATCCTCGCAATTGAAAATTGTATCTGTTTGTAAGTTGTGTTTCTGAAAGCAGCATTACGTCGATTTGATTGTCTAGTAGGAATTGAGCTAACTCGAGTTTATGCTGCGAAACGCCGTTAGCGTTCCACGTAGATATTCGTAGGGAAGTCATTATTTGGATTGTTGTGAAACCAGCATTTGTATTAATAGATTTTGGTTTCGCATCAGATCTTGCATTGTTGTACGCATAAACGACATAACCTCCATAAGGCTTTGTTGTTGACTGCATATCATAGCTTCAAAGTTACTTTTTGCTGCTCTGGCGGTTGATGCTGCTGAGCCGTGTTCGGTTCTTGGTATGCTGATTGCGGCAATGAGCTTTTTGAGGCTGGGGTAGACAGTCCTGATTTTAAAGCACTTCCGTATGTAACATTTTTAGGCAGAGTTTATGGGTCCTAGCAAGGATCTGGCTGCAGTCGAGAAGAAGACTTCAGGGTTTGACCTGGAGGCTATCAACTGTTTATTTTGCGTGCGGGCAGTAATTCCCCACTGGTGGATACTACTTTTCAGCTCACTTTCGTTAAATGGGATACAGACTCTCACTTTTGAATAGATTAATACTTAACATTCCTTTTGGGAAAAGGAATATTTTTTGATTTCTTAACTTGTAACTAGTTAGTTATAGTTGTTCACGGTTTTGACTACAAACTAGAAGCCAAGCTATAGTCGAGAGCCCCAACCGTACCCGTTACTGTTTTCTCAATTTTAAAATATTTATTTTTCTAGTGGAAATGGACAAAGCGCCACATTTTGTCAGAAAAGCATGTTTACTAAGCGATGGTGAAGTCACTGTCCATGTGAGGCGAAAAATAGTTCCATTTCAATAAATCTGCAGCTGCAGTGACATATGCCTAACTTTTTTGCTCTTCTTAACTGTTGGGGACTTAAGAGTGTGCGTGGCCAGATTATGGTGCCACCTTGGGACGCGCTGACATATCAAGACTATAAATACTTTATGCCTTTCTAACTCTTATAGTAGGCGTGGCCGGATAAAAACAGCACTTCGAGTTCCGCTGGCATCTCAAGAAATTTCTAGCTCCGAGGTTTTATCGTTTTTGCTGTTCCGTTAGAGCGGTCGTGGCTAGATGGGAACTGAAATACGCATCGGATTAACACCTCAACTACATGCTTAATCCTAACTTTCTGTCACTTATAGTTACCGAAATAACAGCCTTTCTACAAAAACGAAAACCGGCTTTCGAGCTTGGTGGGCGTAAGAGTCACCGGATAAATTTAATTAAACTCTTTTAAGCCCAACTTTCCTAGCTCTATCAGTTCCTGGGATGTCAGCGATGGGCGCGGCGCTGCGTGGGGAACTTAAGAATCTGCTTGCTAAATCTCAACTTTGAATCTCTTATAGTTTCTGAGATCTTAGGGTTCATACGTACGGACTTTGACTACTTTTACATACTTAATATATATAATATATACTTTTTTTTTTAATATTATATAATATATACTTTTCAAAGAATATAAGGGTACATTAACTCCACGAGTAATGGGTATAAAAATTTAAAATCTCAGCATAGTTTTATTTTTTAGATTTTACAATCAACATTTGCGTGTAGTAATGTATCGCACATTCTTTGTATAGAAACCCTTGACATAGTCATCAATGTATCATGACAAATTTAAATGGGGACGCTGGAAAACTATGTTATTAAATATAATGAAGATGGAAGGTTCAATGGAAGGTGTTTTTTAATGTCAATCTAAGACTTACCAACTACTTTAACAAATCCGTATTGGGTCTTGGCAGTAACCGTATTAATTTGGCACATATATCGTCCCCTGTCCTCCTCCTGAACATGGTTGATATGCAAGAACCAAGTCCGATGCTTGTCGTGCTTATCGTGGGTGACACTTATTCTCGGATTACGCGTTATCACGTGGTTGTGAACTGTTAGAATGGCCGACTGCTCGAAGTGCATCCACGCCACCTAGAAAACCAAATTGTGTAATTAGCTTTCGTGTTTAGAGCCAGATATGTATGAAGATATAAAAGCTGGCGAGACCACTCTTAAATTTAATTTAATTATGATTTTGATTCTTTATTTATGTAAGTCCTAATTCTACAAAAAAATGTGTTCTCTATTATAGTTTATTTCTTCTACATGCTACATATATGGGAAAAATAGCATGACAGTTTCAATTAAATGTAAGTACAGGCGTTTGGATGAGTACAGATCTTTGTAAAGGTAACTGACACAGTTCTTGGTTGACATCGACATCTGTTATCCCTTGAGATTTTCGGAATTCTACCAAATAAGACCGAAAAAATAAGTTTCCTTGGTCCCGGCCTCCTAATCTTGGGGACAGTCGCTTTGCTCCACAGTGCAAAGTCCCAAAAATGAAAAAAAGAAAACTTTAAAAAAGTTCACAGATGAAATTCCCAAATTGCCGGAAACTGTGCAAAAAACTATAAAAAACTAAAAATCATTCTCCGACTTTCCTGTTTTACTGTTCATCGTGCGCTTAACATAATATGCAAAGAAATCAGCTACGTCTCCACCCTAAGGTGGCAAGCAAACGTATCACTCAACTTTCTTAAGGGGACAGTCTATCTATATAAGCCAAAATGAAATCCCAAAACGCCCCCGACATATTTAAGCTTACCCGAAAAACTGACGGGGTCTCCAAGGCCAGAGGTGAGATCTTGGTGTAAGCTCCTACGTAAACTGAAACGTCCAGTTGTTGATCCGATGAGATGTAAAAAACTTGGACATACTGCCAAACACTGCAAGAGCACTGCCATGGGCGGTAGTTGTAACTTTTCTTACTTACTAACAGCATGCACAAGAACATGGTGCGAAAACTGCGCAGAGAAGCACCCCTCTCCTTATCCGCTTGTCTTATGCCTGCAAGAAACTTCATCTGTCCAAAAGCTTTATTAGGGAGAGAATGTGCTAATATCCAATTTAAGTGGAAATCAAACTGCACTAACACTCAAAACGCTCAAATCAAAAATGCATCTGATCCGAAGCAAATGGCAGTATTCCCCAAACTTAAGGGTACCACACAAAGCCAAAGCTTCCTGGTGATACAAATAAAACCAGCTATAATCTCGCCCTAATATAATTCAACTTCCGCTCTTGTATTCTTCCTGTCGTCTCTTCTGGCAATCAAAAACCTTGAACGTCGTGATCCAACCACACGGCAGATACAAAAGAACAAAACTGAATTCTATAAACATAAAATTGTTTTGGGTCTCTAGCCATCGGGCATACGTGGGCACAAAGACGCGGTCCTGGCAGCCCAAAACAAGGACCTCTCACCTACTTTCCTGTTTACTTTTATCAACAGTAAAGGCATACACAAGCAAATCACCTCGATAACCAAAAGCTGGAGGAATTGAACACATTTATCCATAGATACCTTAGGTGTAATAGTACATGCACAAATACCTCTCCGAACTGAGATCGGCAGACAACAGTACTGCCATTACAGTCATCCGGCGAGCATCTAATAATTGGCAACAACAATCCAATTTGCTATATTTATGGAAAAGTTCTGACCAACGACAACAGACTACTTAGTATCCGAGCCGAATTCGGACTCTACCTGCCTTCACAAACCCTAAACTGAACGTCTGCAAACAATATAAAACTTGTATTAACCCACAAGTTACATCCAGAGAAAACACTATTAACTTCGTTCACTAACTTAAACCTTATTCGCGAATCTGCATTGCTGGTCCGTACTATACTAAATATTTCAATGAGTTGTGCCAAAGAATCAACATTGACGTCGCCTCTAACGTCGCTGCTGCTGTTATCTGTTTCGCTCTTAGCAGCTGGTTCCCACATCCCTCCTTCACCAGCTTTTATTTTAATCCTCGGTCCAAACTTGATAGTTCCATCTCGGCTATCTGTTATGGCTAGTGTTCCTTTCGTTCCGTGTCTCTCAATTCTTCTGGTGGAGTCACATGTACCTGCGGAAAGGAACCAGGATCGAAGCCATTGATCGACGAGCTTCTTAGTGGTATCTGTTTTAAGTGGCGAATATTCCTTGTTAAAAGTCTGCCATATCTAACCTTGCAATATTCTTTTAACTCACTGCTGATATACTGTCCGCCATTGTATTTTAGAAAGTCTTCAGAAAATTTCTTTCATTGTATCGATAAGATATAGGCGCAGGAATCCAACAAATCAGAAGCCATGCATATCCACAGACCTGTTGGAAATGGTGTTCTACTCATCGGATCTGGACGGTTTGGTTGAGAGATTAAAAGGCTCTCCAGTACACGTTAAATAATATATTCGGCTCTTGACTCGAAATCCTTTGAGACAAGGTGTCGGAGATGTGGTCGGTAATCAACTCAACCTCTATGCTGGCTAAATAGTAATAACATTTTTTACCGCCAATACTAGTGCCAAGCTTTCTTTTTCAGTTTGTGAGAACCGCTTCTCCATATCAGACAAACTCCGGCTGTCAAAAGAAATGATCTAGGGCTCCCTTCATTCCATTAATTGTAGCAGTACTGCTCCCAGCGCCACAGGGTTAAAGTTAAGGGTGAATACGTTGCCACGTATCCCAATGATTCCAACGGATATGCCATTTGAATTCAGACGTTTGCAGTTCCCGGTGCGACTTGCCTACCCAATAACAATCAATAAAGCACAATGACAATGTGGACTAAATTTGGAGATTCCATGCTTCTCACATGGGCAGATCTATGTGGCGTGCTCGCGCGTCGGAAAATCTTCTGATTTATTTGTTTACGAACCTGATGCAAAAATAAGAAACATTGTATATCCCAAAGCACTTCAATAAATGTTGAATACAAACCTAAAAGGAAGTTATTTTATTTATTTTATTTTGCCCGCATAAGCCTTAGAAGACTATGTCAAACTCGAGAACATAAAAAAGAAAATAAATATGTGCACGCTTTTTTGCACTTATGTTATTTAATGCTCTGCAGTACGGTATTTTATAGTCGCGGCATTCAACAATAGCGCTTACTTCTTGTCTAGCTACTTGTTAAAAAAAACGAAATACTTAGAAATTCTCATTACTAAAATAGTTTTTGGTATCCATTAAGTGTTTATTGCTGTTTTGCTTTGTTTTGAATTTAAAATCAATCAAATTAACCTGGTAGGCTTGCCTCAAAGCAAATATGGGCATTGAGAAGAAAAAGTAGAGGTGGATATGTGTGCGGATGGTAAATAATATTCGTTGGGACATAAGGTTCATATATATTTTTACGATTCTTCGGACGACGGCAATCGCAGAGGTTTAAGTCATGTGAAATGAAATTTTTAGCGTGTTGGGTCAACGCAAGATTAAAAATTAATTTAGATGCCAAGAAGTTAAAGATGTTTAGTTGCAAGAAAATATTTGATATACACTATAATAACAATAAAATTGGCACGAATATTTCTAACCATTTAAATTTACCCCGTATTCTCATAACCACACTTTCATTGCGTATTTGTCGGACTTTGTGAAAGAAAGGATCCTCCACCTCACCATTGGCAATAAATGGATTAAGATAACTTGGGAATATAACAAATTTGGTACAATCAATCAGCCAAATCGGTTTAATGAGGTTAAATAACGCAAGGGCTAGTATATTCGTAGTATTGTCGAAAAGTACCCATTACTCGTATATTAGGAAAATCTTATTTCTTGTCAATTGCTAATTAAACAAAACTTTTTTTAGTTAAACGTTTTTTTACAATTTACTATAAAAATTACGTTTTGTGTTGTCACCAGCATTCATTAAACATAATTATATGGCTCTTCAAACAGATGTTAGTTTCGGCGTTAATATCTGTTATCATTTAAAATTGGCTTATATCTAAGATTTAGCTCTACTATTCTCTGCGATCCTGCTTGTTAAAAGATGTACTCCGTTCAATCAGTCAATTTTAAGTTGCATAGTTAGAAAATATTGCATATTCAGGTCAAAAAAAGCAAGCTTTAAGCAAAACGGAAGGAAATATGAAAGATATTGTTGATAAAAAAAGGGATAACATACGCATTGACAAATTTACTGTTGAATTGTTATCTCAGACTATTGTTCCATTCATCTTGTGGTTATCACAATTCAAATCACTTTTTTGCGTTTATCACCTCAACTAGAATAGTTATAGAAGCAAGCTCTGATATATTGGGATTAATTACCAATTCTTTATCCATTCACAAACATGATAAATTTCAATGCTTAATAACAATTATTAGTAAAAACTTATGGAATGTTGAAAAACTGACCTGAAATCTTTTACCTAAAAGTGAAAAAAAATATAACAACCCCATTAAGTACAAAATTAATATCTAAATAGATCTGTCTGTTGATATCTTCACTGCGATCATGGGAACCATAGGATTGTGATTCAGAGTGCGATTCCACTCTAACCAGCAAAAGTTGCCTAACTCGGGCACGTTAAAATTTGAATTTTGCCAATACCTATCGATATTCCAAAAAATGTTCGAATAGTAATAATATTTTCATATTTAAAGAAGCTAATCCTTAAAAGCTGTTTTATTTTTTTAAGGAATGCTGATTTATGAACAACACTTTTTCGAAAATATTATAAATTTATAGTAACTTTTTCGACAAGTTTCATTAAAAATCAAATTTGAAAATAATAAGTTTATTCATTTAAGCTGGAACTTCTTCCTTGCTTTCTTAAAATAAAATTTCTTAAAAAATGTTTTTCATATATTGGATAATTTAAATAAAAAATCAGCACAGATCCGCATCTACTTTTTCTTCTCGATGGCCCCAGATAAGCTCCAAAGGTAACCACTAATAACCGTTTACCAAGTCATCGAACGTGTGGCACACCCACCAGACCCACATATTTGCTTTGAGGCAAGCCTGGCTGGTTACTTTCAAACAGATGTTGTTAGTTTCAGCGTTAATATCTGCTATCACTTGAAATTGAGTTAACCATATCTGGCCAATATTATCATATAACTCTTACTAAATAGTACAGATTAGGCCGAAGACAAAAGCATTTGATTCTACTTACCTTATAAGAGCCAAGGTTCTTGACTGAACAAGCAAGTTTTACGTTACGCCCCGCGGGTACAGTGATATTCTCGATGACATCTGTGAATTCGGGATCTTCGCTAATAACTGTAAATTGAAAACAAAAGTGCGATAAGACTGGGTTTACGACTTTGATGTACAAATTTACAAAAAAAAAGAGTCCTATTAACTTAGAAGATAGACAAAGTTGTTGTTAGGAGTTAAAATAAAATGCAAATTTTGATACACTTAAACATTAAAAAACACTCCTTCCGAAAGAAATTTGCATATATAGGGTAATTTTTTAAGTTTTCTATTCCGGCAGCACTTGTTGGTACTGGCATCCAAAAGTCATCTTTCGAAATGAGAAGTTTTCAGTACTCTCTGCCATTTCTTCGTGGAATGTCTTACAAACGAGCAACGATTTCAAATTATTGAAATTTATTATGAAAATTCTTGCACTGCGAAAATTATTTTCAGCGATGAGGCTCATTTCTGGCTAAACGGATGATGATGAACAGCCAAATGCCATAAAGGAATCATGGGATTTTACGCCCCTTGATTGTTTTTTGTTTTAAGTCTATGTAGATAAGCCGATAACGATTAAAGCCTAATAGGATAACATAACTCGAAAAAGTGACGGAAAATTCAACCTTCCGAATGGACCACTTTAAACGGAACCGAGGGTAACATTTAAAGGAAGTTATTTTTAAAAATGTAATGGAGAAAGCCAATTTACAGGTTCAATTAAAATTGATTATATGATGCAATTGCTCTATTAAATTTAAAAAAAGAAACTACGCTTTAAAAACCACCCGTTAGAATCAAAAAAAGAGTTTCTTGGCAATGTCAAACAAGTTAAACTTAAATTCTATTTATTGTTTTTGTTTTTTTGTTTTTGGAAAAATTATGTTAATAATCTAGTAGATAGAAAATTTTAAAATAATTCTAAGTTCAACAGAAAAGAAAACATGGGTTTTATTATACTAAAAAAAGGTTGCGCGTATTTTTAAATTATAATATATATTAATAAAAAAAAAAAAATTTATAAACATCTCATGTGACTAATAAGATAAAATGAGGTCTTAGACATAATAATAATTATATATTATATATATATATATATAATTATATTTTATTAATATATATATATAAATATATGTATATATCTCGAAAAAAATAATGCTGCCGCAGACGCGGTAGTCAAATCAACGCTTCCAGTGTCTTCAATTAAGAGCTTTTGTCTATAAGTCTGTAAACAATATTTGGCACTATCAAGATTTAAAATTTTCACCTTCCTAACCCACCATCGATAGCTTTTATAACCGTTACTCGTAAAGTAAAAGGACAAAGTGTAAAAAGACCAATTTTTTTGCTAACCAATTCATCCCTCATTGTACAGACCAGCCAAATGCTAAATAAACTCTAAATTGCAAACATAAGTTACAAAGAATGAATTACAGTGTTCGAAGATGTTCCAGAAAAAAACAACAACAAATTATATTGCAGTTTTGCAGTCTTTGAGCTGAGAGGCGTAGATCAAGTGCGGTTTTAATAACTTGAACGATTGGAATTGAAACTTCGCCTATGAACTCAAGAATTATGGAGATTAATTTCCTTTAATCAAAACAGATAATGTAGTTATAAATAATATTAAAATTTTGTTTATAGACTTAATGAGGAATTGGATTCATTTCGCTTCGTTTATAACGTTTTCCATATGCAGTTATAACTTATACTTATTACACACCCGTCCGAATTTGTAGTATTTAGGATTGTCGCCCTTCGTTATAATTATACCCGTTACTCGTAGAGTAAAAGGGTATACTAGATTCGTTGAAAAGTATGTAACAGGTAGAAGGAAGCGATTCCGACCCTATAAAGTATATGTATTCTGGATCAGGATGAATAGCGAGGACGAATGAGCCATGTCCGTCTGTCTGTCTGTCTGTCTGTCCGTATGAACGCTGAGATCTCAGGAACTATAAGAGATACAAAGCTGATATTAACCTTGAAGATTCTTGAGGTCCCTACGCAGGGCAAGTTTATAACAGCATCCTGCCACGCCCACTCTAACGCCAACAAATCGCGAAAAACTGAAATCGATGAAATCTCAGGAACTATTAGAGGTAGAAAGTTGAAGTACAGTTTGTATAATCTTTAGATGCCAGCGCATCTTATAGTGGTACTACTATCCGGCCACACCCTCCCATACGCACACAAGGCTCAAAAAACGGATTTCGGATTTTCTAGAAATGCTGATATCTCGGTATTTATAAGATATAGTAAGTTCGGATTAAACATGTAACCCTAACGCCCACAAAACTCGAAAAACCAAAAATCTAAAAATATCGAAAACTATAAGAGCTACAAAGTTGCATTCGGCCACGCCCACTCTAACGCCCACAAACCGCGGATAACTGTGGCGTCTATAATATTATTATGAATGTCGTCGTTTTACCCTGTATAACTAATCTCTGGTAATATCTATTGATTTACCAAAGATTTTTTAGATTGGAACATTATTTCGCTATCTATGAAGAAATTAAGGTTATAAGGCCTCACATGGGCAGTGACGTCACTATCAGTAATCCTCTGACAATAGGTGGCGCCTTGTGAATTTCCACTAGCAAAATGAATATTTTAAAATTGTGTAAAACAGTAACGGTTATCTTATAATCGCGGCACTCGACTATAGCGTTTCCATTTGTTTTATTTATTTAATTGGTTAACGAATGAGCTTCAGAGACTTCAGAGACATTACTACAAACTCTATAAGAGTTATACATACAAGAAAAGTAGTGATTCGCTCCAATTTTAATGTTTTCAATAGTAGGACCTATTTTTTTTAAACCAGTGAAAAATTAAAGTTTTAAATTATCCGAAGTCTTTTAAATTAGCTTAAATTTTAATTTTTCTATAACTTCTTTTAACTTTATTTTTTTTTAAATTTGAAAGTCCTCAGCGTTTAGTGTCATCGGTACACTTAAGCTCGTCTGAGACATCTACACACTCTGAAATTGGTGATTTATTTAAGTCGTTTCAAACAAACTTTTTATATACAAATACAAGTTACCCTTACACAATAGTTGAAGTTTTAATTTTTACCGTTAATGACGGATCTTTTTCTTACAAATAATCTGGAGATGTTTTCCTAGACCGGATGTGCAATACAGTTTTGTGCCTGAAACATGTGTAAGCCAAGTCTTAAATATTTTAATCTGCCCATTTCTTAATCAATATTTTCTTACTTTAGAACTTTAGTAACACCTGGTAATATTTATTAATTATTCACCTCCTTAAAAACATGTAGACGCACCTCTTATTTAAAACACTTCAATATGTAGATTGAAGGAGCTTACACGGTCTTTGACTCCGGAAACTATCCTGTTCTTCTTTTCTAAACGAAACGATATATGTACGTTACATCTGGAGTGTCTGTTAGTCTGAAAAATCCGTCTTCGATTCCGCGTCGTGCGGTGCATTTATTATTATCTGTTTGCATTAAGTATTTATTGCAAGCAAATATCAACAACTGTGGTCTGTATTCTAACATATTTTTTACTTTACTTTGTGCTATTAGTAACGAAACTTTCACCGCTTACCGCTCCAGCACAACATCTGTAGATCTCTTTTCTGTATCTCCCACCGGCTTGTAGCTCTCGAAAACACACTCTCTCCCTCTCTTATACAACTTGTACTTTCTTATAACGCCTCTCTCTCGCTAACACTCTCTCGCTAACACTCTCTCGCTAACACCCTCTCGCTTACTCTATTGCCCCTAACTGTTTCTCTCAAGCTCCCTTTCTTCTTCTCTATAATTCGCATTGGATCCTCCCGTGCCAAATGTTCTACAAGCCCAAAAGAATTTACCCTTGACTCACCAGAGGAACTTAGGGACCCTGATTACCGACAACCACTGGTAGGGTGGGTAAACCACCCGTCCCGCCAAATCCCTTGATTGGTATTCCTCTAGAGAAACACATTTTTGTTTCCCGGCTTTCCCCCAATACGTCCGAATCGGACATCTTAGCTTACATTTAAGCAAAACTAATAGTCGATATTAGGGTGGAAAATATCACTAAGCATAAATATTCCTACGCCAGGAACATGGCCTCTTTTAAGATCCGTGTTCTTCCGATGGCTTTTGACGATATCAGTTCGACCAATTTCTGGCCGCAAAATATTTTCGTTCAATAACATCAGCTCCTTTAGGAGTAAAGCTTCCACAAAAAAACGCTCCTGCCAACCTAAAAAACTAACATCATCCATTATTCTTTCGTACCAAAACACAAGAGGCTTACGCTCTAAGCTTTCTAATTTGTTCTCGGTAAGCTTCTAGTTTGCATCCCAGGTCATTGTGTTTACCGAAACCTGGCTAACTCCAGAAATTCTTAATTCTGAAGTTTTCCCCAGTAGGTACACAATATATAGGCTTGACCGATCCCTCGGAAATGGTGGTGGAGTCCTATTTCAGTGGACTCTATTCTCGTTTCCGAGGTGATAAATCTTCAAACTGGAGACTTAGAATTTATTACACTTAAAATTTCATTGTCTAGGCTAAATTTATATATCACTTGCCCTTATAGTCCAATTCCTTGACATATGAGCGCACCTAGCAGCCATTCAGTCTGTCTTCTCAATGTTATCGGACATGAATCAGCTTGTGGTGTTGGGTGATTTCAACCTACCCCAGGTGGCTTGGTCCATGAACGATAACACCTTAGCTTTAACACCCACGTCGCATCACGACTTTACTGCTGGCATGTTCGACATGTCACTGGCTCAAATTAATCATATAGGGAATTCTTTAGGTCGTTTGCTCGATCTGTGTTTTCTCTCTGATACGGACGCCGTATCCATATACAGAGCTCCACCTCTCACACACCATAAAGATCCTTATCATCCAACATTAGATTTTACGATCGATACGGGGCTATGTACTAAGCCTGAAAAGAATTACGCTGATAAGAAAATTCGATGTTTTCGTAAAGCCGACTTTAAAAAAATTAATAACTTTATTTCAGAATTTGACTGGTCCGATTTTTACGCATGTACCGATTTGTCGACTGCTCTATATATATTTTATAGTAAATTAAACCTAATTT